CTTTCAGTGTCTCTGTGCCCCATCGGGTCTACGAGTGTCCTGAAGGGGCCAATGTCACTTTAACATGTGTTCAGTCCGGATCCAAGACTTTTTCGGAGGATAGGTTGTGGAACACCTGGCTCTTCACACCTCACTCGCAGGAGCGCTGCCACAAGGGTGCACATCCACGCGGGTCTAGTTACTCCAACCGCACAATTGGCGTGCAATACATCGAAGACAAGAAGGCTTTCTCCATCATCTTGCAGAACATCAAGCACAAGGACCAGGGAAAATACTGCTGTCTGATTCTGGAAGTTCATAACAAGCAAAAGGTGGAGCAGGGGGGCCATGAATTCATCTACCTGAATGTGGTGCCATGTAAGTGAGTGAGGAGAGAGGTCAGGTGTGACATTCATGTATCCCCTCTGTTTTTGTGTGATCTTAACATATTTCGCATTTCCACAGCGATGGGAAATACTCAAAACGGCAGTCTGAAGTGTTTGGAGTGGTCTCACAGTCCTTCAGATGGTACATTCAACACCACACTCAAATTATACAACGGCTCTAAAAAGTATTAAAACATTTAGAAAGTCTGTCAAAGTGGCATCTGTAATTGAATGATGCTAGTTTTTCTGAGAACTAGCTTCCACTTTTGTTCAATGAAAGTTCCTCTCAAGTTCACAAATAGAGTTTTGTGAATAAGACATGTATAATGAGCCTATCTGATGATAATGACTTAAAGGGATAGTTCACCCAAAAATGAAAATTCTGTCATCATTTACTCACCCTCAATTTGTTCCAAACCTTTATGAGTGGATAACCAAAACATTGTTGGTCACCATTGACTTCCATAGTATGGAAGAAAAAAAAACTATGGAAATCAATGAAAGTGTTAGGTTACCCAAAACACTTTCAAATATCTTCTTTTGAGTTCAGCAGCAGATTACCATTTTTGGGTGAACTATGCCTTTAATTTCTTTTCTATTTTGCACCAGTAACGTCTCAGTTTTTCTGTTTTTTAGACTCGTTGGCTGAAGGTCTGGCTATCACAGCCTGTGTCGTTTTCATTCTGTGCCTTCCGCTCATACTGATGCTGGTTTACAGACAGAGACAAACAGTAGAGCGGCACAGACGTGAGTACACACACACACACACACACAACACGTACACTTAGTCATGAATTGCTCACACACTTACTCTGACCTATATTGTGTGTGAGAGTACGTTGCACATGTCTTGCACTGCAGAGACTGCTGATAGGAGTACAGTAGCTGCACTAATTGTTTTAAAGAGACTGCATATCCTTTCTCACTATGAACCATTTCCTGTTCCTGTTTTTATCAGGTGCACACGAGCTGGTGCGTATGGACAGGTGAGTTTCCATAGTGACCAAAATACTTAGACTACACAAAGGATATTTGGCTGAATCTCACAAAAACATACAAACTGAATTTCACCTTTGAATTAATATAAATACAAACAAGTAATTACAGAACAAAGCTAATGTTCAAAACCAATAAATACTTTTTATTTTTTTTGTATTGTGACATTATTTTGATCATAATAAACTACATCTCCCTTTTAAATTCCTATTGTTTATTATTAGCTACTTTTGATTTTGAGATGATATATATATATATATCTCTCTCTCTCTCTTTCTAGTGAAGCACAGGCTCATGATAACCCAGTGTTTTTGGGTGATTCTCCACAACCTAAACCTCGGACTGTATCCCAAATAATGAGGCAGTCATCTGAAACAGGACGCCATCTCCTGTCAGATCCCGGCACTCCATTCTCTCCAAACATACAAGGAGAATTGTTTTTCCCAGCACAGGGTATGACTCTCACTCACTCACACACTCACACACTCACACACACACTCACACACTCAAGTGTTTACGCAATCAAAACAGAGGGCATTTGATTCACTTCTAAGTCTTAAAGATGCAGTAGCAAAAACAGACTTGGTAATTATAAAGATTAGAGAAAGGGTGGAAAAATTTTTAATGTAAAACTAAATTATGGCTTATTTAAGGTAATTATAAGGTAATAATTTGACTTTATTTTCCCAGAACCCATCCCTGAGTGTCCCAACTTAATGGAGTAAAAGACGTCACGTCCACCCCAGGAACATCTAGTTCTTCTTCCTTCTCCTCCACATCATCATGCCTCTGTTTTTCCTGTCTTCTGCAAAGATGATGAGGAGAGACCAACCCCCCAAAAATGAGAACTGAACTCTCTGCTATTACGGTGGGACCCTTTATCTGCTGACTGTCCTTAAACGGGTTTCCCGAGAAGGAAAATCGCACTATTTCACAAGTTAGGGCACTAGGGAGAGCTGATCACAGGGAATTTTCATGAAGACGATCCAAAGATTTTCTTTTGTGCCATTTGAGTTGAAAAATTGATTTCAGCAAAGCTGTTTGCACACATTTCTGTTAATCACGTGCTTTGTGTGTCAGACACACCATGGTTTCATTTGCACTTAAAAGACCATTTTACTCTCTTTCTTTCTTCTCTAATCTGTCTATCCCCATCCTCATCCTCCTTTCCCAATGAAACAATCAGTTCATCCGCTCTCTTCTAGAGGTCAGGGATGTATTAATACCTCATTCACTCCTGTTTTACCCATCTCAGTACTCAGTTTCTCAATAGTTATTTCCTCCATACTCAGTATGTCAGTGCCAAAGTACTCAGTTATCACTTTATCACTGAAATGGTGCCTGTGCTGGTCCCGGATTCGGTGCTTGGTCGGAAAACCTGCAGATCTCAGAACTGCAGATGCAAATGACTGTGTTTGTTTCAAAATGTTAAATAATTGATAATTCAGTGTCTTGATGTAACGGGCCTAGATTGGGACCAGCACCGGCACGTGTCGGTGGAAAAGGGATGTTCTCAGTACACTCACCGTCAGACCTGCTGAGAAATGATGGGGTGTTTTAAACCCTCTTGAGGTGAGTGTGGTGCTTTTATGATGTATGTAGCTAAACGATGCATTCTGTCAGAATGACTGCAGATTTTCTTTTTTGTGGTAAATGTTGCATCAGTGACAATCAAACACATTGCCACTCTCTTACGTCTCTCTTGTCACCTGTGGCTTTAAGGGCCTGAGGGCTCATAAAAGAAGATTTTCTATATATTTTGTATTTAATTTGTATCTGATTTATGTGTGTGTGTGAGTGTTTCCATTATTTTCCATCCAAATTATAAAAAAAAAAAAAAAGCAAAGAGCTGGAAAACGTTTTCAGGAAGCTTAAAAGTTGAAATCCACTGCCATAAAGAGTGCCAAAACTTTGCTTTGTGTATGAATGGATGGTTTGTAGATGAATGATTGCAAATATTGTAAAAATGATGATAAATATGCCATTGTACCAGTTTGTACATTTGAAGTTGCACATGTGCCTGTACAGCTAGGTAGCACCGTATATGTAGCTCCAGAGACAATGCTGTAACACATCTGCTGATACAATCGAAAACCAATTGCTTAAATCTTGTTTTATAAAAGTACAAACAAATAAAAATGTTCTGGTGAGAACTGAGAGTCCTTGTGCTGTGTTTATGCAACAAATAATTTCTTCAATCACTCGGAAGTGTCTGAGACAGCAGACAGTCAACCGATGGGTGACAGGGCCTCTAAACCATTATCGGGAACTTGCCCAACCTCTACCAAAAAAAACAAAAACTTTAACTAAGATGAAACTGGCCTTTTCTGTTGTTCAAATTAGTCTGTCATCTCTCTGTTTAGGTGAAGTTGTTTGAAAGTCAACGTATCCCTAAAATGTAGTTTCAATCCGATTTTTGAGCACTCAGCATTTATTAGCTGGTTTTAGAAAGTGGATACAGATACTAGAAGCCCAAAAGTCACACTTGATGCAACCAAGACCGCTGTGAAGTTCACAACAGGAATCAACGAGCTCTTAAGTGTGCAACTTCCTGTTTCAGAAATAAGGCAGGTTGTGGTTTCCTGTTTTTGCTGTTTAGTTGTTCAGACAGGCTTTTTAAAGAGAAAATGTAGTATTTAATTTTGAGTCAAAAAAGATGTACTAATGCACGGGTAGGATTTTACTGTACCCACTGGGATCTGACTGGATCTTGAAATGTAGGCTAATATATTACTTTTCTCCACACATGTGGCCTTGGTGAATAAATTAGAGGTAGAGATTATTTTGATGAAAGTTTACAAAGAAAAACACAAAACTATCACACACACTCACACACACTTACTGATAAAGGCGGCATTCCGTCATCTTCCACAGTCACAGTGAGTGTGTACTGCTGCTGTTTTTCTCTGTCAGGAGGTGACGGTCGGGTCACTATCTCTCCTGTCATACGGTCCATTCTGAAGGTCAGGTCCTGGTTACCGCCGGTGATGTAGTACGACAGCATGGCATTGGGTCCAATGTCCCGATCCGCCGCTACAACACGCAGGACAGATGTACCGCCACCCACATTCTAAAACACACACATACGCCCACTGTTATTTTATATATATTAGTTTAGCTTTTTGTCTACTTTTTTTGCCAATAAGCTAACCAGGTTATATTCTGATTATATTTCTTTCTTTTGACGTGTCACATGCAGACAATTGAATGATTAACACCCAGAATCTGCTATCACTGATATCACTGGTTTGAGGTGCTGTGGTTCTGACCTCACTGACGCTGACGTTGTACCCACGAGGGCTCTGCAGCACGGGAGGGTTATCGTTCTCATCCAAAATATTCACCGTGAGCGACACATCTGTGAACCTCGGAGGGGAACCGTTATCTGTCGCCCGCACCTGATCCAAACACATTAACAGAGAAAATGTAGTATTTAATTTTGAGTCAAAAAAGATGTACTAATGCACGGGTAGGATTTTACTGTACCCACTGGGATCTGACTGGATCTTGAAATGTAGGCTAATATATTACTTTTCTCCACACATGTGGCCTTGGTGAATAAATTAGAGGTAGAGATTATTTTGATGAAAGTTTACAAAGAAAAACACAAAACTATCACACACACTCACACACACTTACTGATAAAGGCGGCATTCCGTCATCTTCCACAGTCACAGTGAGTGTGTACTGCTGCTGTTTTTCTCTGTCAGGAGGTGACGGTCGGGTCACTATCTCTCCTGTCATACGGTCCATTCTGAAGGTCAGGTCCTGGTTACCGCCGGTGATGTAGTACGACAGCATGGCATTGGGTCCAATGTCCCGATCCGCCGCTACAACACGCAGGACAGATGTACCGCCACCCACATTCTAAAACACACACATACGCCCACTGTTATTTTATATATATTAGTTTAGATTTTTGTCTACTTTTTTTGCCAATAAGCTAACCAGGTTATATTCTGATTATATTTCTTTCTTTTGACGTGTCACATGCAGACAATTGAATGATTAACACCCAGAATCTGCTATCACTGATATCACTGGTTTGAGGTGCTGTGGTTCTGACCTCACTGACGCTGACGTTGTACCCACGAGGGCTCTGCAGCACGGGAGGGTTATCGTTCTCATCCAAAATATTCACCGTGAGCGACACATCTGTGAACCTCGGAGGGGAACCGTTATCTGTCGCCCGCACCTGATCCAAACACATTAACACACACACGAATCCACGTGGACATCAGTAAACAAACACCCATATACCTCAGAACTAATTATGCAAAACGTACTATATTTAACTTTACAAGGAAACATGTACAAAGTCACGCAACACACTGTGACCATGCATGGCTCTGTCTGGACATTTTCTTATTCAAAGTGAGATGCCTTCATGTGTACTTCCTAGACAGACATGCCTTAAAAAGCAGCATCAGTGCATAGTCCCTTTTTAATTAGATGAATTAAACAGTAATATTGATAAAATGATTGCAATTTAAATAACTGTTTTCTATTTGAATATATTTTAAAATGTAGTTTATTCCTGTGATGCAAAGCTGAATTTTCACCAGTCTTCAATATCAACATGATCCTCCAGAAATGTGCTGCTCTAGAGACATTTCTTGTGCTGCTTAAAACAGTAAAACAGTTGTGCTGCTTAATGTTCCTGTGGAAAGCATAATGTATTTTTTTTCAGGAATCTTTGATGAATAGAAATGTAATGAATCCTTGCTAAATAAAAATGTTAATTTCTTTGAAAACAAAATCTTACTAACCCCTACTGAAACTTTTGAACTGTAATGTATATGTCTAATATAACATGCCTTTTAAAAACTAGGGAGCATGCGTATGATATAAAATGTTGTCTAGGAAATCTAGGAGTTTGGTAAAGAGCCATTGCATGTGTCCGTAGTGTTTCTCTCTCACTTTAAGCAGGTAACGGTCAACAGCTTCACGGTCCAGACGGGCGTTCAAGTAAACCTCTCCATACGTATTATTGGCTGTGTTGATCTTAAACACGTCCTGCATGTTCCCTGCGATCAAAGTGAAATTCACCTGAAGGAGACAAGAGGGTGACGGAGGCGGGGTTTCGAATGAATGACAACTCATTCAACAGTGTTTTGAATATTTATCTTCCTCACCAGTCCATTTCTTCCAGCGTCTTTGTCCCGTGCCAACACGATTGCAACTCTCTGGCCAATGGGTGTGTCCTCTGGAATAGCCACTGACAAATCCGAAGTGATGTCAAACTCTGGGCTGTTGTCATTCTCATCAAGAATGGTGATTGACACCTGTCAAAAGAACAGAGTGATTGAAAATGAGATGCTTTTCTGATAGCATATAACATCTGTTGCATTAAAAATTACCCGATGATTAAAAATCACTTATTTACCTTCTACAAATGTGCATCAGGAAGGAAATCAGAAAAAAAAATTACACAGGTTAAATTACATGTTTATATAGTATATCAAAATCATATTGTCATATACATTTCACATCACTGTCAAATTAGCTACTGGATACAATGTTTACAGACATTAATTTTTAAAGGAATAGTTCCCCGCAAAAGGGAAATTAGCTGAAAATCTACTCACCCTCAGGTGATCCAAGATGTAGATTAATTAGTTTCTTCCTTCAGAGAAATGTAGCATTACATCACTTGTTCATCAATGGATCCTCTGTAGTGAATGGGTGCCATCAGAACAGCTGATAAAAACATCACAATCCACAAGTGATCCCCACAACTTTAGAAAAAAATCCATCATCAAATCCATAATAACGCTTCCTCCAGTGAAAAAGTCCATCCGTTGTTGTCCTCTCACATCAAAATCAACCAACATATTTGCTAAGAACTGTTTTTGCTAGTAAACAGTGTTTTTGATCTGTGCATATTTCTCTCCTGATTCAGATGAGATGACTTTTTCATTGGAGAAAGCAATATTATGGATAGAGGACTCACATTTTAGCCAGAAGCAACGCTTTGAAGTTAATGACTTTGATGGATTTGTTTATTACAAACACACAGCTTTTCACTTCACGACATTAAATGATGATTAAAATAAAATAAATGATGTGGATTACTTGTGGATTATATGTTTTTATCAGTGGTTTGGACTCTCATTCTGACGGCACCCATTCACTGCAGAGGATCCTTTGGTGAGCAAGTGATGGAATGCTAAATGTATCCAAATCTGTTCCCATGAAGAGATAAACTCATCTACATCTTGAATGGCCTGAGGATCAGTACATTTTCAGCACATTTTCATTTTAGGGTGAACTATTCCTTTAAAATGAACTTTAACAAATATGATTATATTGTACTCGATTCAGGCTTCTCTACAGTATGCGCTGAAGGCTTTAGTGAATTTGTCCTACAGATTGAACAGATCACGGAGGAACTCATTACCACAGTGGAGCCTCTCTTGGGTCCTCCATCATCGGCCACAACAGTGAGAGTGTATGAATCGCCTCTCTCTCTGTCCAACAGTCCCGTCACAGTTATACGGCCCTGTAGAGTGCACAAAATCCTTTATTATTTTACATAATCCATGTAGAGAAATTACCACATTTAAAAAGTCCATAGTCGAGTAGGCTTAACTATGAGGTGGTTTTGGTTCACACCAAGCAGGATTTTTCTCTGTGACAAGCTTGTAGAAGAAAACCATTCTATCCCTGTGATGGGTCATTTTTCCCCCTACTGTCTTTATTTAGTCATTAGTTTTTTCTGTTTGTTCACCCTGCAAGAAATTTATGTATTTATTTATTTGTTTGTTTGCTTGTTCACCCTGCAAAAAACTGACCAGTATGTAAAGGTATTCCATATTTTTTGCACTGATTTTACAAAATCTGAACTGGATGGATTTAAGCACAGTAAATTTGTTAAACAGACCAGAGAAGGTACTACATTTGCATTGCTAGCTTTGCCAGAAACTGCAAAACTACGTGCTGTAGTCATTTACATGAGTCAAACACTGACCTGCTGACCAGTCGAATAGTACAAATAAGTCACCGTCTTTGCCCTATCACGTTTTAACACAGCTTGAGCTATGTTTGGTGTATGACACGCACCCACTTTAAAAAGATCCAAATAAATGAGAAGTGTTATGAACACACAACAACAGCAATCATAGATGTTCCTATCAGACACATTTACCTCCTCTGTGAACTAGTCTGGTCCACAAACACAGGTCAAGAAGAGAGTGTTTGCACAGGCTTAAGGCTTGTGGGACGATTGTGTTGTGTACCTGTGTCGGGGTCTGTAGCTCGGACCACTACCACGGATGTACCGATCCCAGCAGTCTCTCTGAGCCCCAGGCGATTGTACTGCGACTGAGTGAAGACTGGAGACTCGTCATTCACGTCCTCCACATACACAATCACCTACAGACACAAACTCACAATCACAGTCTGATTCACACACACATTAAATTCAGTACTTGTCTTTAATGACATTTATTTAAAAAATGACGTTTATAGCTAGAATTAATACAATGTGCAGGCTATTAAACAATGCTAACTAATAGTTAAATAACTATGCACAGTAGGCATTGTTTTAGCAACCTCTATTCTGATATGCAAAGCACACGTCACCTTATAATCAGTTCCTTATGGATTAAATCAGGTCCTTTTTCATCACTGAACATCCCTTTTTACTCGTAAATGTGTCACATTATGAAGCAAATGAGTTGCTTGAATAAGTAGCTTTAAAAGTAATTTTCTAGGGAATGTTATATTATTTTTCACACGCACAAACACACCCTAACAGAACTGCGCATGCTGCCCTGGTCACTGTTATAGGCCTCCACCTCCAGCACATGAGAGCTACGCGTCTCTCGGTTCAGAGCCGCAGTTCCTCTGCTGATGAGTCCAGACAGACTGTCCACATTAAACTGACCATTGTTGCCTGCAGATAACAAATCACACACACATGAACCATACTCTGAAATAGTACATCACATAAAGGCTGAGGTCGAAAACAATAGCAATAACAAACAATAACAACTTCTTACAAAATTTGTCTAACATGTCAAATAGAGTCATACACTCTTAAAAATAAAGGTTCTTCAAAAGGTTCTTCAAGCGATGCCATAGAAGATCCATTTTTGGTTCCACAAAGAACCATTCAGTCAAAGGTTTTTTAAAGAACCATCTCTTTCTTGCGTTTTTGTAATCTGAAGAACCTTATTTCGCCACAAAGAACCTTTTGTGAAACAGAAAGGTTCTTCAGATGTTAAAGGTTCTTTATGGAACCATTTAGACAAAAAGGTTCTTCTATGGCATCGTGAAGCACCTTTATTTTTAAGGGTGTATCTTTCTAAAAGAAAAGAAAATTGTTAATATTGTCTGCATTATGCCAATATTTTTATGACAATTAAGCACATTTTTATGGATGCCAGTTTTCACCGAATACAGAAAAAAAAGTTCGAAAAAATTCTGAATCGTGAGATATAAACTCAGAATAGCAAGATATAAACTCACAATTCTAAAAAGTCAAAATTCTGTTTGACTGAGTGTATATATCGCACATCTCACAATTGTTTTTTTTTTCTGTCACAGATTAAAAAATAAAATTAGTAATTTTTTTCCCCTCAATTTCAAATTTATATCTCAAAATTCTGACTTTTCTTCTCGGAATTATGAGTTTATATCTCGCAATTCTGAATGATATTTTGCAATTCTGAGAAAAAAAAGTCTATAAGTATATATTGTGAGATATATACTATACTGCATATACTCAGAATTGCGAGACAAAAATTTACAATTGTCTTTATTCATTTAATTTTTTTTAATCTGAGGTGGAAAAAAAGCTTCCATTAGTGCTTACAGTATGCCACAGATGGCTGAAAATGCTCAAAATATGACTGAAAATATTGAAAATATTCCTATACAAAGATTTTTTTTTAATATGTGACCCTGGACCACAAAACCAGTCTTAAGTCGCTGGGGTATATTTGTAGCAATAGCCAAAAATACATTGTATGGGTCAAAATTATAGATTTTTCTTTTATGCCAAAAATCATTAGGATATTAAGTAAAGATCATGTTCCATGAAGATATTTTGTAAATGTCCTACTGTAAATATATCAAAACTTAATTTTTTGATTAGTGATATGCATTGCTAAGAACTTCATTTGGACAACTTTAAAGGCAATTTTCTCAATATTTAGATTTTTTTGCACCCTCAGATTCCAGATTTTCAAATAGTTGTATCTCGGCCAAATGTTGTCCTATCCTAACAAACCATACATACATGAATGGAAAGCTTATTTATTCAGCTTTCAGGTTATGCATAAATATCAATTTCGAAAAATTGACCCTTATGACTGGTTTTGTGGCCCAGGGTATATGGTATATTGTGCAACAGTGTTAGTTAGTTAGTGTAGTAGATTGTGGGAGTGCATCTGCGCAATGCATTGATGTGTGACATCAGCAAACAGGAAGAATAAATAGTTACCAGAGAGAATCCTGTACAGAACTCTTCCATTCTCCCCCTGATCTGCATCTGTGGCCTGAACCTGCAGACGGACATAACCACAAACACACGTAACCACATCACGTACACACCCATGTACTACTAAATAATGAGAGTGAAAGTAACACTTAACACATTGCACACCCACACAATATATTTGATACTTTAACACACAATCAAACTCTTAATCACACTACAATTGGACTTATTTTTACTGTCACAAGTGAAATGTGTCATTTCTTCATAACTAACAGCACAAAATAAAATGCAATATGTTTGTTTGGCTCGACCAATAGCGTGGGTTTGGGATGGGGCGATCTAATGACCAATGGAAGACCGATCAAAACTCCTTTAACTGCAGCCTGAAATGGCTTATTGCTTTTAAATGCAACATCAATATGATAAAAGACATTAATGTTCAATAAATAGTTACTTTTATTAATAACAATAATTGGAATAAATAATTCCAGTGAGTAATATAGTTCATTAGCTTAACTGCTGGCTGTTTGTGGATGCTAAGCAATAGCAATTTGTTACATTAATATAGTACGTTCAATCACATGTATGGCTTCAAATATGGCTTGTCTAATCAGAATTCAGAGTCAGAACTATTTTTGCAATTGCGTTTGGTGACACTAGTGGCCCAGATATGAAACACTACACCTTTAAATGGTCGTCATGGCATGACTATCAGCTCATATTGGCTTGAAAACACAAATACAACTTCAATGATCATATAAATCTCAGAAACAATGATCAGAAGTTGTTCCTGAATATATTTACACACATCAATTCATCATGTTAAGGAGTAAAACCATTTGGCGCACACTGAATGCATCCATATATTAGTCAAATCCTACTGACAGTGAGGAGGACGGCCCCTCCTTCAGACTCATTAGCTTTATAAAAAGATGTAGAGGGGAGAAGAAAGAAAGCAGGGATCTAGGGGGGTCTCTTGGAGAGAGATGAATAGAACAGGCAGACCAGACCATACCATCACATGGGGGGTTAAAACTTGAGACTGAAAGTTTGGCTTAGAATGAGCGTTTAGTTCAAGAAGCACACTGCCATGGTCTGCTGATCGCAAAACATAGAGAGATTGATTTTGAGTCTCTCTGAACGGATCTCAGCTGCACATATCCTGATCCCCATCTTCCAGGCATCTCCACAGGATTTTAATCAAGGGGAACTTTGGAGGAGTCACCACCCACATCCATCGCTAAAGGTAATGTTGAACCACAAAGAATAAACTGAAAAATAATTCTTATTCGATGAACCCCTGTTGCAAATGAGTTGTGTTTAGGATGCTGGTGTTCATACTGAGCTTCTTCATTTTTGTTCTGCTGAGCGACACAGCTATGATGGTCCACCAGACCCCAAACCCGCACTAACCAGCATAAACCGGCCAGGACAATCATTCAGCAGAGCCAAAACCATTTTGTTTTGCCATGATGTCAGCTATAAATTACAGGGGACAAGAAGTTATGTTTGTATTACTGTAATTTACTAATTCATGGGTATGCAGTGTCTAAAATCACAACATGATAAATGTCACCGAGATTATTATATGGAGAAATAGTGAGTGAAACTGTGTAAATTTGGATACAACTGTAGACACTAGTGCACACTGTGTAAACTACTGTTCAAAAGTTGATTTTTATTTTATTTATTTTTCAGCAAGGATGCAATAAATTCATTAAAAAAGTGAAAGTAAAGACTCTTAGATTGTTAAAATTCTATTTCAAATTTATAAAATACGTTTTTTTAACCAAAAAATGTATCACCGTTTCAACAAAAATATTAATCGTCACAACTGTTTTCAACATTGATAATAATAAGAAACATTTCTTGAGCAGCAAATCTGCATATCAGAATGATTTCTGAAGGATCATGTGACACTTCAGAAAATTCAGCTTTGCATCACAGGAATAAATTACATTTGAAAATATATTCAAATAGAAAAGTTATTTTAAATTCAATTTGAAACAAAAACACAAATGAAAACAAAAATCTATTTCAAATCTGACTGTTCTCAGTGAAATATATTTACACAAATTCACTTTAAAATAGAAAAACAAATATTAGCTGCCTGCTTGAGCAAAGCCTAAATGTGATGAAGAGTGCATAAATACATTTCAGCAGATCCATACAGTGGTAACTAATGAAGTGTTTCACTAACAATAGTTCTCGTCTGAGTGGCCTTTTCAGCCTGTTTGTGGCATTTAAGATGATGAATAATTTCATGTCTCAATGTGTTTTCAAGTCACACTCTGTGTGCTCAGAATTTAACATGCTGACATTTAGGAGCAGAGAGGCAATTGGTGACTTGGGTGCTACACTGTGTGCGTCTGTGTGTGTTTCAGATGGATTGAGAGTTATTTTAACAGACCCAAATTAGCTTTCAAAAAAATAAAACCAACTGACCACATTTCTCATCTGACTGCTCACTTAGTGGGGCACTAACATTTTAAATGTCAAATGCCATTTCAAATGTGTGTTTATGGGAGCGGTGAAGACCAGAAACATACTGTTCTCGACATAAGTAGTAAAAAAAAAAACAGATACATAAATGCATTTACCTGTTTGTACATAATTAACATGTAAGGAGCACATCCTGCTCCTGGAGGGTCAATGTCCTGCAGAGTTCAGCTCCAGCCTGCTCCAAACATACTTGCCTGGAAGATTCTAGTGATCCTGAAGACTTGATTAGCTGATTCAGACGTTTAAATGGGGTTGGAACTAAACTCTGCAGGACTGTGGCCCTCCAGAATCAAGACTGGACAATCACTGCTACTGTGATAGTGATAGTATGTTAGTATGAACTGTAACTTGCATACACTGCGAAAAAATGACTTCTTAGTTAGTGCTTAATTAGTCTTTTTCCATTAAAAATACCTTTAAGAGACCTTAAAACAAGATAAATGTATATGCCCTATATTATATTAATAAGAGTGTGAGACAAAATGCAATTGCATTTTTGCCTTATTTTTTCACTTATTTTTCAATTTTGCCAGTGCAAGACACACACACACACACACACTCAAAAAAAAAAGAAGCTCATATTAAATACACTTTCACTGAAGGCAAGCCTTAATATCTTATGCAGGTCTGTTTCTCAAGTAAATGTATTATGTATTAAGGATTGTTAAATATTTTGACTGGAAATTGAGACAAATAACTTTCTGCAGTTCAGACAGATTCTCCATCAGCTGTAGCTCAGCCATTACAATAGTTGATCTGCAAAAGCTAAATGACGGTAAAAGATGATGTTGAGAAGCGAGAATGCTATGCATATTTGTGTTGCTCTATGAATTGCTGTATGGCACATTTCCAAACACAACAATGCATGAAATTGTAGGTGCAGCTAGAAGTGCTTGTGTTTATGCACTTGTGTAGACTTTCCTGACCTTAGAGTCTCTCTGTGTGTGTGTGTGTGTGTGTGTGTGTGTGTGTTAGAGAAAGAGAGAGAGTAAGAGACTCTCGCTAATCTGTAATCAATATAGTGCAATATAAATCCACTATACTTTGACCTTTCTTGACATTTCTTTAGAGAAATCGCTCAGTCATTCTGATAGTCTTGCAGAGGAGCGCTCGGAGCAGCATGTGTAGAGCTGCTAGATGGTGATGATGATAAGGTGTGTGTAGGTGTGCAATCCCACCACCACAAACCACTGCTCTGTACCTAGAAGAAAATGTGCTCAGATGTTGCTCTGTCACTGCTCAGGAGACTTCATGACCTGTTTCAATTGATGTTACTCCTACAAATCCCGACACTATACAGTATTGATACGAAGGCCTTTTTTTGGCCAAAAAAAAGATTCCCCTTGTGAGAATGAAACGCATACTTGAATTGCATAATAATTTGGTTTACGACACATTTCGGACCACTATGACACATATAAGATCATAGCGCTTGCGCTCACATACTTGCGTAGATGTTTTAGGCCTTTGGTTCAAAATAAAGTGTCCTTGTACACGCCATCTCTTTGCCGCCTAAGAGAAACAACTGAGATATTAAAGAGACTTTTTCTTTTTAAGCATGCATACACACACACACACACACACACACACACACACCTGTCAACCACATCCTGGCATCTTGCATGCATCTTGCTCAAGTACACATTCACACTTTTGCACAAGCTAGTACCCAGAGGATCACAAAAACACCTACATCTTTACTATAAACACGCTCCACTTAACCCAGATTTAACTCTTCCTGTTTTGTATCTCTACAGATCCAGGCTGACATGGATGTTTCCTTCAATCTGTCCCTCTCTAATCTCTCACTTCCGGTCTCCCCGACATCTCCACCTCTGGATCTTCACCATCCCCTCACGACCATCATAATCATTGTGTGTCTCTTCATTCTATTCGGGGGCTTTGTGACCTTTCTAGCGGTGGGCTGCCCATCAGGAGGGTCCTGGGGTGTGGATGGGGACTGCGGCCCGGCAGACGGTTTCTCGTGTGGCCAGACTCTGTCCAGTGAGCCCCAGCTGAAGCTCTGGAAGCGTTTGGGCTCGATGAGGCAGTCATTTTCCTCCACGCCGGCCTTCAGAAGACCCATTCAGCCATACGTAGCCCAGAGCAGGAAGCAATCAGGATCGATGTCACCCGCAGGGTCAAAGACAAACGACTCCCACACATATATTACTATACCGGCTCTGCTGCAGTATTCCACCGAGATATAAGCTCTGTTGCATCACCTAGTGAGCTGTCTTGCTATCTAGTATCTACATAGGCAGCAGCCTTCTAAGTGATTAGAAGATGATTGATTTAAAGTGTATTTCATAGGCAACAACTATGTACGCCACAGGAAACTTGACTCCAAATTGATTTCAAAAGAGTTGTCAGCTTGTTGCTAAGCTTGTGATGTGATTCTCTAATAAGCACAAAAATGCATAGCAAGAAAATATGAAATAAAAACGATTTCATCGAATTTAAACTGACTATTTCATCTGTAACTCCATGTACTGAATGAAATGTATTTAGAATTGGCATTTCTATCAATTTGTCTGCCATTGTCACTGAGCTCAATGCATTGCATTCTGGGATTACTGTACCTCTTCCATGAAGGATGCATGTGAAGCTTACTTATATATATATATATTTCTAAAATAACACTGGATGCTGCTTCAGAATCTAAAACAGAAACCATGTTATTCATATATAATCCATGCTAACAGATAACACTCTCCATGTGTGTATTAAAACTTTATGGAAACAGTATTCACATCTGGAGTGTGTCTGTAAGTGCACATACATACACAATCACTGCAAACATGAGAACAGAAACAGTGACCTCAGCTATCAGCACTGACAGAGACAAGCCAACTCATTTCATTCACCATTCACACCAAACAAAACAAGACATGACTCAACAATCCAACCATTCGGTGGCCGCAACTCTATAAACAGCTGGACATTGCCTACATCACATTGCTGTGGAGACTAACAGACATGACCTGGATGAGCAAAGACCAGGTGCTTTCTGAGTAATGGTGGCCATTCTGACTGGGCACTAACAACATTTCTATTTATTTAGAGGAAATTCTGATTCATTTGCACGTATGTAGCCCCAAGAGTATTTGTACACTTAAAGCACACTTAAAAATGCCTGAATGTCACAGCATTAGAAACCAAAACAGCAAACCACTTAGCATTCATAGACAAACTGTGGTAGAACTGGTGCTCACATTAACTACTGGCTTATTCTACTGATTTGACCAGTGTTGGGTAAGTTGCTCTAAAAAAAGTAATTAATTACTAGCTACAAATGACATTTTCAACAGTTTAATTAGATTAATGTACTAAATACTCTCTCTACAAAAGTATTGCATTACTTATACTTTCTAAATCCCATATCAACCTCGATCAGTTGAACAATATAAGAATAAACATGAAACTACTCTTTTATTTATTTCAAATTAATAATACAAAATTGCATAATTACTCTTGAACTGACCAAAGCATTTAAAGGGAGAAGTTTACATTAAAATCCACTATTGATTAATATAGAATTGTTCTATAGTCTATACAGTATTTAATGCAATTACATAGGAAGTAACTGTAATTAAATGACAGAAAATTAAGAGTAATCCCTTACTTTACTTTTTCAAGGAAAAGTAATTAAGAGTAATTAATTACTTAGTAATGCATTACACCCAACACTGTGTTAGACAGCCATAAAATCTTTATTTTGAACAGTATATCTATTGTTTTATCATTTAAAACTTCTTTGTCAAATGTTTTGCTGGAAAAGTGTGTTTGTGCCATCTTAAAATACTGTACTTGTGACGTTTAGTGTTTTTTTAAGTGTGCTTTAAGTGTCCAAATGACATTTTTACGTTTTTCAAATAACTGTTGTTGTGCCACTGTGACTCTGGTTTACTCCGCAACAGCAAACTCATGCAAACTAAAACAAAGCTTTGCATATTAAAGATGGAATATTCCCCAAACTAACTTCAATAACAGTTCAATATCAACTTCAACATATGGAAAGAGGTTAAAAGCCCTTTGGAAATGAAAACGCCCTTTATTTAGTCATCTGAAATGATTCTGCTGGCTTTCTAGAACTTTTAAAGCATCGTCATGGTTACCCTATTATGGCATTTGTTGCCAGCCAAGAGATTGTCATGGTTTTCCAGCACAGCGGAACATGACATCACAGAAAACCACTGAAAACATGATACTGCTACCATTGTTACAGACAAACACAATGTAACAATAATACACCCTCATGTACTACTTCATAATATTGTGATAGTTCTGCTGTTGTTTATTGGAATAAAAAGTATATATATATCCATGAGCATTCTTTTTATATATCAGAGTGAATTGTGAATATGAGCATGTGTACCTGTAATATACTAGTCCCTCTGGGTATGTTCTCCAGGACGCTGGTCTCATAGCTGTTCTGGAGGAATATAGGCCTGTTGTCATTGACGTCCAGCACCTCCACATATACTGTAGCTGTTCCTGTCCTCCGACTTCCCGCTGGACCATTATCTATGGAGAAAACCATCAACAGTCTGGCCAATACAGTTAGGAAATCCTACTCGCAGTACAAAAAAATACAGTTCAAAGATCAAGCTTGACCAATGAATATCTACAACGTTTCCAGTTGTTCAGGATGATTGGATAAGGATTTTTGGTAACACTTTATATTAGGGAACACATATTCACTATTAAACTATTAAAGAGTTTCCCCTCAATAAACTTATTGATAGTAAGTAAGGAAGTTGTTGTAGTAGTCATGTTTAGGTATTGGGTAGAGTTAAGGGGTCTAGAATATGGTCATACAGAATAAGGCATTAACATGTGCTTTAGAAGTACAGATAATTTGCTAGGAATATGCATGCTAATAAGCAACTAGTTAATCGTGAATAGTGTTCCCTAATCTAAAGAGTTACTGGATTTAAAAAAATTATTTTACATAGATTAGACTCAAGAAAAGCTGGTATCCTAGCTGGAAGGTTTTGGTATACTTAAAACGAAATTATATAATTATATTTTATTTTTCTAATTTATATTATATGCATTTTAATTGATATTATACCTGATATTTATAGGTTTTGCATGATCGTGGGAACCCTGATAGCATCCTACATGGTAGTACTAGTCATCTTTAAATAAACATTAGTTGTACCAAGCAACAGCATACCATCTGACTGTGCTAAAACTGGCCTGAGCCACATACAAAAGACCCACAGAAGACAAGCCTTGACAGCTTTGGCTTACCAAATTCACTGGTATTGGTGTAAAATGTGTTAAGACAGAGAACTAAAACAATAAGATAAAGATAATAAATAAAAATAATTAGCTAAAATTAATATATGTGACCCTGGAGCACAAAACCAGTCTTAAGTCGCTGGGGTATATTTGTAGCAATAGCCAAAAATACATTGTATGGGTCAAAATTATAGATTTTTCTTTTATGCCAAAAATTATTAGGATATTAAATAAAGATCATGTTCTATCAAAATATTTTGTAAATTTCCTACCGTAAATATATCAAAACTTAATTTAGGAACTTGCTACTGCCAATGCATACGGCGATACGGTGCTGTGAATATTTAAGACATACTGCTGCTGCACAAATAGCATATAAAATAACCCGTAGCAGATCTATACAGGTGGAGCTGGGGAAGGTGAAGGGTTTCAGAGAAACTCTGAAAGCGCGCTGCAGGAATCTCTAGTGAATGCTAGCCAGCCATATAAATGCAAGGCAGTAAGTTCATTGGCTGCATATGCAGCATGAACCAATCAGCTTGTGCCAAGTCGTTTAACTCTCTGAATATCATAAGTTACGTTAACAACCCATCAGCCTGCACCATCTAGAGTTTCATGACTAAACTACTCATTATGTTAAAAATGTTAAAAATACATTTTTGTATGTAAAATGACTTGGAAGAGTCTTTGTGCTTAAATCATTGTAAAAAGTAAATATTCCCAGTCATGTGTTCTGGTCTTCCAAAACATGCATTTCATTTCATTTCATCGTAATTATCATTTATAATCAGATCCGAATAATGATGTATTTGACATATTACTTGTATTGAAAAAAGTGGCCAGCATATTTTAGTTGAAACTCATTAAACAGGTATTAGAACAGCTGCAGTATTTCTAAATGCACTCAAGTCAAACAGGAAACCACAACACTTGCTTTAAACTCAAAGTCATTTAGACAGGATGCTGCAGCAGATCATACCACATGCGCACGCACACATGCATAACCAGTTGCTTTTATATGAAACTCACCAATCGCTTCGATCACTAGCCTGTACAAGGCCTGAGTCTCGCGGTCCAGACCCACCACAGTCCGTACTATTCCGGTCCGGAAACCCACACTAAACTTTCCATCTTGGTTCCCAGCTATAGGGACACACAAAGACAGACTAAGAAATCACACATCTCAGCTCTGTTCTAAACCACTTGTGTGCTGCCTCAAAAGACATCATACTAACTGTAATGGAACCTCATAACTGACTTATTTTGAATGTGCTAGTATTGTGTTTTCATACAAACAGCATTCCTCAATTGATTTCAATGGAGTTTGACATTAGCATGTTGCTATGATAATGATGTAGTGCTGTTCTAATGAGCATAAAATACACAACACACAAATATTTGGCAAAACAGTGAAATCTATTTAATTATACCTAAATACTTTTCGCAAAGATAATAATGTGGTACTCTTCTAATGAGCATACAATACGTATATTATATAATATATCTGGTAAAAATAGTTAATTTTTTAATTTGAGGAAATGATGTACAAATACACAGTATACGCAATTATTTAATAAATTAATTTTTAACCAATTCAACTATATTTAAATAGTTTTCATGAAGATTCTTATAAACTTAAAATACATAGCACACGCAAATATTGTATAAACTAGCGCTTTTTTAATTGATTTAACTTAAATACTTTTTGCAAAAATAATGATGTGGTAATCTTCTAATAAGCATAACACATCGCACACAAAAATATTTGGTGTTTTTTAAAAATAAATAAATGTAACTATATTAAAATACTTTTCATGAAGATACTTACTTTTCTAATAAGCATAAAATATGTAGCAAAAACATATATTGACTAAATTAGTGAAATTTTAACCAATTTAACTATATTAAAATACTTTTTGTAAAGATAATTATATGGTAATTTTCTAATAAACATAAAATACAAATCACACACACATATTTGGTAAAATAGTCATTTTCTAACCAATTTAACTATACTTAAATTCCTTTTGTGTAGATGAAGTTGCTCTTCTAATAAGTAGGTAATTGTTACAGAGGAGGCTCCCGTACCGCCTCCTCCGCACCACCAGAGGGAACTGTCCCCAGAGTATTAGCGATCTTCCATTCGGACTCCATTTCCCATCATCCCTCTTACCTGGGTCTGATTACACAATCACACCTGCATCTCATTTACACACACACATATAAGCCACACCATTTCATGAACTCCTTGCGAAGTCTTGATTTGCCCCGGCTGTCATTTCCGAGCGTTATACCCGTGTTTGTTTTCTGTGCTTTGATCTTGGACTGTTTCCTGATTCTCTGATTGTTATCTGCCTGCCCCGACTTGGATTGTTTCACCTGGACTCTGTTCACTAGCCGCCTGCCCCGATCTCTCGCCTGGTCCACGATTCTGCCTCTGCCTTGTCTCTACCGTTCTGCCTTGCCGGTATTTGACACTGTATTGTCTGACTATTCTTAATAAACTGCAAATGGCTCCAAAGCCTTCTGGTGTGTCGCAACAGTAATACATAGCACACAAACATTTGGTAAATAGTGATTTTTTTTAACCAATTTAAGTATTATTTTCGTGAGGATGATAATATAAAAAATGTATAATAAGCTCAAAATACATAGCACACAAATATTTAGTAAATTAGTGAATTTTATTTAGTAAATTAGTAAATAATTTTTGCAAAGATAATGAAGTAGTGCTCTTCTAATAAGCATAAAATATATAGCACAACACAAATGTTATTTGTGTAAATCACAATGCATCACAATTCTCCTTAAAATGCTGTCTACTGTATGTAGGCCGCTCACTGGATTTTGGAACAGAGCCTTAGCTTTACATCTGTTGACAGCAGACCCAACCAGAATCCCACAGTGTTGCTCCATCAGCACAAACTCACTCGCACCCTCTGATCTGTGACCTTCTGCACTCTGACCTGTGATAAAATAGCTGAGCTCTGAGTTAAGACCCGCATCATTATCCGTGCAGTTCAGTCTGACCACCACATAGTCACGGGGCACGTTTTCATCCAACGATACGTTATACATGCTGGGGAAGAAGGTTGGCGTCTCATCATTCATGTCCAAAACTGCACAGAAAGAGTGACAGACATCAAGATGATTTAGCATTTGCATCTAAACACAGTGGGGCAGTGATCCTGCTATGTACCTGTGATAGTGAGAGTACTCGTGGACGTTCGAGGAAACTGGTCTGCATCATACGCAATAATCCTCAGATAATACTGGCCGATCTGCTCGCGGTCCAGCACTGCGGTGGAAACCAGGACCCCTGTGGTGGTGTTGAGCCTAAAGTCCAGCCGTGGCATCCCCATCTGAAGTGCCATGGTTACCGCACCATTTTCACCTTCATCAGGGTCCTGCACCTGCACCTGAGGGAGGAAACCAGCGGGGGGCACCAGAGCACAGGACAGTTTCATTACAAGAACTTCACTAGAAGTTGGCATTGAATCAAAGATGACCCCAAAAGTGGTACAAGACTCCTCGGATTTTTATGCCAAGTTGATTTTGAGTGCAAAAAGTGTTCCAAAGTTTTTACTGATAAGATATTTTGGTCCCACTTTATATTAAGTGGCCCTAACACCTGTGTACTTACATAGTAACTAGATATGTACATAGTATGTAACCACAGTGTAAGTACACATTGGTACATAGTATCTAGAGCTGTAATATTTCTGTAACTACACACATGTAACAACCCTCTGAATGGTTTGTGTAAGTACAAATGTGTAAGAGGACTAACAGCACTTTTTGGTAAAGAAAGTGTTACACTTTATATTAAGTAAACAATTACTATGGATTTACCATGTAATTACTCTGATGTTACACAGCAGCGGCCAGTACGTTAGGCTTTATATATAAATTGTGGTTGTTGTCCAGAATGTTACACTTTATATTAAGTGGACTGTTCCGTTCCTGAGGAGTTACCATGTAAGTACACTGGTATTACAGTGGTGCACCAACTCCACCAACTTGAGATCCAACTCCTCCCACTTTACATATCCCTAAACCTACCAATCTCCACCCCCTGGATCAAATTGCTCCAATTACTCTTATACATATTGTTGTTACAAAATGTAGTTATATATGTCCTGTTACACATTTGTACTTACACAAACCATTCAGAGGGTTGTTACATGTGTGTAGTTACAGAAATATTACAGCTCTAGATACTATGTACCAATGTGAACTTACACTGTGGTTACATACTATGTACACATCTAGTTACTATGTAAGTACACAGGTATTAGCGCCACTTAATATAAATTGGGACCAAAAAAAACTCACTGACCCAAACTTTTGAACTGTAATGTAACTAAACGTAAGCAAATATTTATAATAAAAATAATATTTATGATCATTCTATGTAAGGCTGAAAGGATGACTTTCCCCTACAAAGCGAGTTATTGACAAAATGTCAAATCCACACCTTTCCATAAAGTTAAAATGCATGGAGATCTCTGGCTGTCAAGTTAAGTAGCAGTTTTGCTTGGTTTATTTCAAAAACACATTTTAATATCAGAATTTGAACCCAGGTCCCCTTGCATACTAAATGAAAAGCAGGTCTTGTTGAATATTTAATCAGTGCACTCCTGGTCCTTGTAGAGACTTCAACCAATCAAATGCTAACCCTGAACACAGATGATCCAATGGGAAGCCCCTCTGGTACTTCAGCGACAAATGGGAGGTTGATAAAGGCAGGATCATTATCGTTGAGGTCCAGGAGGTTCACATACACTGTAGCGCTGGCTGAAGAGCGCAGTGGAGGTGTCCCAACTGAGGAGGGCAGAACAACAGAGAGAATACTTATATACTTTACTGCACAACTTCTTTGAGTTTTCTCTAGTCATTAGATCCACTGAGGGGGAAGAAAATCTTAAAACTGAAATGTCAGTTTATATTGTCAAGCACAACTCAGACTAATGCTCAAAACAGACTAGTTGAGGAAGAAGCACACATTTTGGTAAGACAGACAAAACAAAGGATGTGTTTGGAATGGAGTATTAGCCACGAGTAAGTGAAATATAAAGCATTACTCAATGGACCTTTTTCACATTTCCGGGCTTCTCAGCAGCGGAAGTCGTCATAGTTGGGTTAACGTGAATAGCAGTGAATGGGAGAGTACCACAAATATATTTTTTTGCATTCCCATTTGCTCAAATAGCAAAAGAAAAACTCCCCGATAGTGTTTTCATGACTTTCAATATGCTGCATTAGAAACACCCTCGCATTAGTTTTTTTGTAATTTGATGCAAAGGTGATATAATACAAAGAATAGTGTTATAAATGTACATACATTAAAAAAGAAATACAAATATGAAAAACTTTAGAGGATTTACGATGCTGATGACCGTTTCATCACCGTCTTGTGAAAAGGGTCCATGAGAAACAGTTTACACAATACATACCTTGATATACAATATCACATATAATATAATATACTATAATATATAATATCACATACTGTTAAAAAATGTATAACCTGAATGCACTGTTAGTCGCTTTGGATAAAAGCGTCTGCTAAATGCATTAATTTAATTTATTTATTTATTATAATATTGGGATTATATATGTTTCAGTATCTGGATATCTGGGAATATATGAATTTCTAAATATGTATCAAAATTAGGAAGTGAGAAAAAAAGATTATTAATTCTGGCTAACTAAAAGTTTGTGAAAGGCCAAGCCAACCACACTGCATACAACATTGCACATATACAATATACAGTATCTACTACATATCTGGCAGATGTTCAAAAGTTTGCAGTCAGTAAAACTTTTTAAATGTTTTTACTTAAATCTCTTATGCATTTATTTGACTAAAAATACAGTAAAAACAGTAATATCGTGAAATATTTTTACATTTTAAAATAGCTGTTTTGCATAGTTGCTTAAGTGTTTAGTGTCACATGACCCTTCGGAAATCATTCTAATATGCTGATTTGATGCTCAAGAAACATTTCTTATTCTTATCAATGTTGAAAACAAGATTCTTTGATGAATAGAAAGTTTTAAAATACCAGCAATCATTCTAAATGGAATCTCTGTAACAGTGTAAATGTATGTACTGTCACTTTTGATAAATGTAGCACATTTAATCTTCACCTTCTGAATAAAAATATGAATTTATTTATTTTTTAAAAGTCTTACTGACCCTCAAACTATTGAACAGTAGTGTATGTAATACAGAAAGTTTGCATACTGCAATTGGTAAGACCATTATGCTAGCATGATATTCTGAACACAGACTAGACAGGCTAGACGGTCCAGAAATAAAGAAACTGAAAGTTGGCAACTGTAAAAGTATTTTTATTGTGACCTCAGAGAGAGAGTGGGGCATTATGGGACAGGTGAGAGTTGCTTACGGTCGGTAGCAGAGACAATGATGGTCCTCATAAGCTGTGCGGAGCGGGCGTTCTGACTCTCTCTGTCCAGCACCGCCCCACTGGTGCGGATCTTCCCGGTGTTGCGGTTGATGGTGTAAAAGGGGTTCCCTGGATTTATAGAGTAGACCACCATCCCATTATCACCATAATCAGGGTCCACCGCTAATACCTGCGCAGAGAAAAAGAAAAATTAGTCTTACGGCACAAAATAGAGTCCTGAGGCGCAGAAATTAAATCACACCAAACCTCTCCCTACAGAACAGCATGATGGGAGATTTATGCACCGGGCATAACTGTCTAAAACCCTGGATGTTTTTTTTTAAAGAGCCAATCAATTATTCACAGTGCTGGTGGAGAAGCACTGAAAATCACTTAATTGGTCATTAGAGAACAAAGGATCTGTAGGTCTTTAATTATTAAAACAGGAAGGACCAGACAACTGTGTTCTCCATTGATTAGCGCGAGTTTAAACGGATGATGTACAGCATGGGTCTAATGTAAAGTTTATCTAATTGATTTGAACTCTGAGGGGGACATTTCACACACACATTTACTCAGGCATGTTTACAGACAATTCTAAAGGCGATATATGTGATGTTGCAATGTTAAAATTTGTTCTATCCGATTCCCCTGAAAAGTTTGAAAAGTTTTCAAACCACTGCAACAAGGAGATGCATTGCATAAAGTCCACTTTGCTTTTTTGAGGAAATATCCAAAGACAAGGGGCTGTCAAGCTTCATAAAAAGTATTCCATATGACCTGTATTTAAAGTCTTCTGAAGTCACATAAAAGCTGTGTGAGAAACAGACTGAAATTTAAACTGTGATTCCATGAAAATAGTCTCTTATGTTGTATACACTACCATTAAAAAATCTGGGGTCAAAGAAAGAAATTTGGGAAAGAAAATCAGCAGGGATGCATGAAATTGATCAAAAATTACAGCAAAGACATTTGTAATTAGGGCTGGGCAAAAAAAAAATTTGATTTTTCGATTAATTGTTTTTTAAATGACTCGATTCGATATCGATTCTCAAAAGCTGTGAAGCTCCTTATTTAAAACAAGATCTGATTAACGTGAATCTTATCATTAGTCTTCTCCACTAGATGTCACCCTTATTTACCTTGCGCGATGTTACAACATTCATACAGCGGTTATCATGGCCATACGCGTGATTTGCAATGCTCAGGTGAAATGCTATAGTAATACTATAAATCTGCGGAAGCATTTGATATCACGCATAAGGCGTCATGATTTCCGCAATAAATGAATGACGGATGGCGCGGCGCACTGTTTTGTTTACTACACACATATTAAAGCGCAGATGACGCTCGTGGTGTTTTCAGCTTCTGCCGTCTCACTATATGATGATATGAACACGATAAAAGGATTGACATGATAGAGAGTAAATGATGACGAAAATTGTGTTTTTTGATGAATTATTACTTTAAAGGGTTGGTTAGACCACGTTATACCACTGTGTTGACCCAGTAAATGGATTGATGGACTCAGAACCCCTACCAGAGTGTGGAAGTCAAACGCGCTTCAGGACATGTGATTTTTACAGCCACTGTTCTGTGATTTAAATTATCCACCCATTTCTTCCTTTATTCTGTTTTATCTCTCTCTCTCTCTCCTGCACGGTGTCCAGCAGGGTAATCAAGTATGCACTTGACTCTGGGCTACATTTTAATTAGCCATCGGAACCTCCTATGAAGTTCAGGACTTGCTAATTAACGGACAATCAGGGGCATATTTAGCCAAAGAAAGAGCCAGAATAAAACACCTAAACATTTATGAACAGAGGATTGAAGTCCACGGTTTCTAGAAGCCTGACCACATTTAACTTGTACACACACTAAACCCACGTCATAAACTCAACAGTTTTTCCAATATACTGTGAAACCATCAAGTTTGCATTTAGTTCACTTTTTCCTCAGATGCCATGCCCACAGATATTGCCCACAGTTTAGATTATCTGATGTACCGCATGCAAAAATGGCAAGATCTGGCTGAAACCACCAACTTATATGCAACAGCTTTTCAATATTTCTGGTCTAATATTGTGATAAAATTGACCACAGAAAAAGCAGGTCAGATGGTCTCTCTTGTCTAAGTGGGTGGTTCTTGGCCAGAATAAATTGTAATCTGGA